CAACCAACTAAAGCACAAATCCCAGGAAGTGCCCAGCTTTTCTGTCCAGGATGCCCCAGCCCACAGACCCTTTGCCTCCTGTTTCCTTGCCCTCCCCCGTAATCCCATTAGAACCCCTTCTGTAGGCTTCTCCCCACCCCATGGGCCATACTGGGGCCTCAGGGCAGTGCGTCCTTCATGGGTGATAGCTGCCTTCTGCCCACAGTTAGGGTGGAAGAGCAGGCGTTCAGGTTCTGCCTGTGTAGCAGGAACAGCACGGCGGAGAGCACCCTCAGGGGACAGCGCTCGCAGGATGGCATTGTTCCGGCGGAGACGGTCGCTGTGGTTGTTATTGTGGACGATGGTCACCTTCACTGCCATCCCATACAAATCCACCACACCATATACCACTGGGGGGGTCAGAGGGGTAGCCACTCCTGTAGCAATGGAAGGTGCAGGGGTGTCAGCAGAATGGAGAGAATGAGAGGAAAAGAGTCAAACACCAAGCATCAAAAGGAAGGAAGCAGGAGACCCTTGTCCCACTGGCCCTCTTTGAGCATCCTCTTACCCTGATCAATGCCATTAATGAAGAAGTGCAGGGCAGAGTTGGACTTTCTCGTGAGGCCGATGTGGTCACCCTCCTACTTAAAGCATAAAGATACTTCAGCTTAGAATCTACCCACAGTCAGGATCCAGAGCAATCCTGCGGCACTTCCCACCACCACATTCCACAGGAGAGTGACTCTAAATTTCTAAAAGGTATTCATGTAAGTCTTAGACCACCCTGGAGGACAGGTAGGATACATCTTGGGTCCTTTTGTCCTAGACATGAAAATTTTTACATTTCCTGAATGCTCAAAGGAAGTCAGGCACTGAGTTAAACCATCTCAAAAAAGCACCAATTTCTTAAGTGTCAATCTATAAAATAGTCATTATTACTAGGCTCATTTTAGAGATGAGGGTGGGGGAGGGGGAAGCAACCAAAGAGAATAAGCACGTCGCCTCAGTTCACTACCACAAACAGCCAAATAAAAAGGGAGATTGAATGACCAGACTCCAAAATCTGAGTGCTTAACTGTTGGGAAATCCTGCCTTTTTGGAAAAGAGGCTTTTGTATTCTAGGTTACAGAAATGACCATTGGTGATGCCCAGATAAGGACACAGAGTACCTGTGGCTCCCCTGGAGAGTGGCCCAAGGTGCTGAGCCTCAACCTCACCTGCAGCTCATCCAGACTGAATTCACAGTACTCCCGACGGGTACCCTTGCCATTGGTCAAGATCCCACAGCCGCTCATCATGATGGTGCCTAGGTGAAGATGACACCCTGGTTAGGATTGAAGTTCCTTCCACTCAGCAATTCCAAGCCTGTACCCCCACCCCTTCCTGGAACCAATACCTGACTGGAGGTTGGTCATGGTTGCTGGGTACTCCAAACTGTTTGGGTTATGGGTGGTGACACCAATCTCAATGGAGCCTGACCACTTATCTACAAGCTTGTCGATACGGATCTGGTGTTAAGTGGCAGCAGAAGAAAAAAGCAGGGAATGTAAATGCAGAGGACAACCCTCAGTCTTTAGTTCCTCCCCAGACCTCTACCCTCCCAGCATCAAGAATTAAGCCCCACCAAGCACAGTGACTCACACCTATAATCCTAGTACTCTGGAGGCCAAGGCAGGTGGATTGCTTGAGCTCAGTTCAAGACTAGCCTGAGAAAGAGCAAAACCCTGTCTCTACTAAAAACAGAAAAAACTAGCTGGGTGTTGTAGCAGGTGCCTGTAATCCCAGCTACTTGGCAAGCTGAGGCAAGAGATCACTTAAGCCCAAGAGTTTGGGGTTATCGTGAGCTATGACACCACAGCACTCTACCCAGGGCAACAGAGAGAAACTCTGTCTCAAAAAACTTTTTAAAAGGCTGGGTGTGGTGGCTGACACCTGTAATCCTAGCACTCTGGGAGGCTAAGGCAGGTGGACTGCCTGAACTCACGGGTTCGAGATCAGCCTGAGCTAGAGCGAGACCCAGTATTTAAAGATAAACCGGCACTGGGGTAGGTGCCTATAATCTCAGCTACTCAGGAGGCTAAGGCAAGATTACTTGAGCCCAGGAGTTTGAGGTTGCTGTGAGCTATGATGCCACAGCACTACTGAGGGCAAAAAAGTAAGACTCTGTCTCAAAAATAAATAAATAAGAGTTGAACCCCATCTTTAGCTCCCAAGGGTGAGGTATCAGCTTAACCCCAGAATCTTGCACACCTCAAACATCTCATTATCCTGAAGTGGGCGGTTGGTCATGACAACTCCATTGTTGAATTCATCCAAGGGCCGCCGGCGCTCAGCAGTCTTATTATTGTTGCTTAGTTTGATGAGCGTCCCACATTTCTCATGAAAGAGCAGGGCATCATTGGAAGTGAGGATGGGTGAGGTGGCAGCACCACTAGATGCCAGGCCATCTCCTGATGGTGGGGAGCTCAGGTTCACATTCAGGAGCCCCCCATTGTAGGCAGACAGGATGGCGTTGCTCACCACCTCAGATAGCTCCATGTTGGCAAAGTCTACAGTCACAGGATGGAAAAGGAAGCTGGGATGAGGCTCTATAATCTCAGACGTGGCAACTCTCTTCCTACCCGTCTCCTGAAGTCCCTCCCTCACTTCCCATCCCCTTCCCTGGACCTCCCCAAAGCCCTCACCATTATGCGACTCAAGGCTGTTAGGAAACATCTCCGGCCGGGCCTGCGCTGGGGACACCATGAAGGCTGGGGACCAGGTAGGATGGGAGGGGAATAAGGGTTCAGCCCCTGCTTCATGGACCACAGCCAGGAGACCCCATCTTCTAACTCTTGCTCTCCCCTTTAACAGACTTGGAGGTCTGAATGGCCTTGCCCACATCCAACCTCTCTTCTCCCTGTATTTCCCCTATTCCTTCAGCCATGCCCCCTGCCCCACCCTTCCACCACTACCTTAGCTGTGTTCTTACCTTCATCCCCAGAGGTTCCCTGTTCAGCCAAGCCAGAATCTTCAGGGGGAGCTGAGGGCTCAAGGGGAGGTGTAGGGATGGAAATAGGGGAGCTGAAGCCCGGCTCTGGGGGTAGCACAGTGATCTGGGTACACTTGCCATACAGGTCCACAACGGCCCAAACACGAGCGGGCAGACCTGTGGCAGCCACACCACAATCCCGTCCATTCACCCAGAGCCGTAGCTCCCCAGCAACTGTGCGCTCCACACCCACACGGTCCCCTTCGCCAAGCTGGTCCAAGTCCTGACCATATTCCTCCAGCACAGAGCGTCCATCTCTCAGCACCGAGCAGCCGGACACTACCCACGAGCCCCCCTTCAGCCCCGTGGCACTGCTTGGGAAGTCCAGCACACCAGGGTCCAGGGCCGTCACCCCAATCTCAATGGAACCACTCCAGGAGTTGACCTGTAGGGTTGTGGACAGAGACTCAGGATGAGCCACTCCACATTCCACAGGCCACTGTGTCTCACTTCTCAGCTAATGGCTTTCTATTTCTCCTGGGGCCCTATTCCAGAAATGAAGATCTGCAGTAATTTTGTGGACTCTATCTCAGTGATTATTTGGGCCTGCTTTTTCCTAGCAGTCTTGCTCTATACTCAGTTTTTACAACACCACTCCTAGGGAATGGTTCCAGCCTCTTGCCTTCTCTAACTTCTCTGGTCTCTATGGCTGTCCAACCATCTACATGCACATGCTTCCTCTGCCCCCACATCTCCCTCCTGTATATTTCTTTTCTTCATCTAATTCTCTCCCAGGCTTAAGGTCCACCCAGATTCACTTCTTCCAAAATCTTTCTGAGAGCCTGGCCTCTTCACCAACTTACACGTGCCTCCCTCCCCAAGTATTGCTCCTCACACATCTTCCTGGCTGCACCTGTAAGTTTGCCTTCAATGGTTTGTCCTTTCCTTGGTACCTTCTCCTTCCATCACATTTCTTTTATTTTTTTTTT